GATTTATTGAGGAGATATTTAAAACTAGCTGGAGTACCCGTCCCCCTTCACGGAAGTTATGTAAATTCTTGATTAATGAAAGGTTATCTTAGGACATGAAAAGTTGCTTCCCTTATATGTAATTGTACAAAATGCAAAAATGCCCATAAAAACTGCAAAACGCAAAACCACAGATTTGCATGTATCTGTGCATGAGCCCCCAAACCAACTTTGATAAAGATCCATCTACAGAGGGCAAAGTAGTGGTAAAAACTGCAAAAATGCGTATCAAAACTGAAAATTTGTATGTTTCTTCCTATGGACCTAATAAACCTTCATACCAATTTTGGTGAAGATCTATCTACACCCTGTAAAGTAGTTACATGGACATACAACAGATAATACTATTATATTTATATATACATATACCAATCGATGAACAATCCAGGCCATCCCTACGTAGGCAGTGCTACCGCCTATCTAATATTAACTTCTCAAAATTTTTTGGTGTTTTATTGCTCCAGTCTTTCATAAAATGTTTTTAACAATGTTTAGAATATTATTGTTGTTTCACAGTTGTTTTAATACAGGAGGGATCTAAAATTATCTTTCCTATGTTAAAATTTAATAATTTAATAACTAAGGAAATACAACTATGCAGTTTTCAACATCTTGTAGACCAACTCAAACAGATTATATTGTCAATTTTTTTCACTCCAACGAGGAGTGTTACCCCATAAAATTGCTACGATGCAAGAAAAGGCTCAATGCTTTGTTTGGCTTCCAGAGACCAAGTCAGTTACTGTGGTGTAGTGTTATTATAGACACCAGTACAGGAAAGAAGTATGGGGGTATGTTAAGGATATCATGTATTGCACACTTATAATAAACAACGTGGAGCTAAAAATCCAGGATAATGGATGCCATCACCACTATGACCATGAGCATGTTGCAGCAAACATAGACTGAAATAGAATATCGATTAGATGTGCTGTAAACCACTAATGGTGCACATGTAGAAGTCTATTAACATGTTAATAAAAACTGTTTGAGTTGGGCTACAAGATGTGAAAAACTGCATGGTTGTAATTCCTTAGATAGTTGATTATTAAATTTTAAAAGAGGAAAGATACTTTTGGACCACCTTGTACTATAGTATAGTTATGATACTAACTATATTACTTTGCTACTATTTGCCATACATGACTCATATGTTGAAACTGTATTTGAGTAAATCCACAAATATACATGTAGATTTTTAAATATTTTCCTAACAGATAGTGTGTAATTACAACAAAAGTTTGAAACTGATTACATTCATAAGTTAAATATACACATTTTACATTAGACACTGACATATTTCCCCAATTCATAAATTCAGTCAGCTGTTCAGAGTTTCTTCATTAATCAAGAGGAAACACTTGCACAATTGACCAATTCAGAAAATGAATTTTAATATAAAAATACTGAAATTTTCAAAAATTTTATTCATGGATGGTAAGAAACACCCAATTAAAACATTTCCTTTCAACCACTATAGACCTTTTTGCTACCAGGGATATATATATGTAAAAAGCAGTTTATTAGGCCACAGATTAAGTGGTTTATTTATATGACATATATTAAATTATGCATTGTTGAACACTTCAAGTGATCAGCTACTTTTAAGGCTGAAAAGGCAAGGTAAACTATAATCATTAAATTTCATCACTAATACATATAAATTGAAAGATCTGGTGGTCAGGGTGCTTGACTCTCAACCTGCAGGTTGAGGGCTTGAATCCCCATCACTGAATATGCTCGCCTTTAAGGGATGCTTTTGGGATCAGCCACTCAGATGTAAAAATTTGTGAGTGACTGACCTCAAAACTAGGTGGAATTTCAGTGAAATGAAAAAGAAGACATACTTTGAACTGATTAACTTTTGAGAAGATTCTCCTTGATTTTAAAGATGGCACAGAATTTATGTAAACAAAGTTCATTCTATCAGTTCTCTACTGTCACTGAATGTTCAAATGTTAGCGATTACTAATAACCCTTTTAAAATAAAACATTAATAATGTACTTACCCCATTTATCCATAAAAATAGGAGTACCCCCAAGAGAAGCAACAGCATCAACCATGAGAAGACATTCATACCTACAAAAAAAAAGAAAAAAGAATAAACAAATGGGAAATTATAAATTATCAAATGTTTACATTTTTTAGAAATGGGCACAAGGCCGAGGAAAGAAATGTTCAAAAGAAGTTTTAACTTATTCAATCACTTCATCAGACATTAGCCAACATCTTTAAAACTAATGCTTACACAAAGTCCAATGATTAAGATCAGTGTATTTTTACAAACAGTGTAGTTATTGTACAGAAATAACAGATAATGAGATTGTTCATCATTGTTTCCAGCTCTTATAAAACTAAACTTCCAAAACATTATATTGATAACATTTAGTTTATTTAACTTTTCACAGTACATTTTACTCTAATATTATAATTTATGTTATGTTATATATACATTGATGTTCTTTTTATTCCAGAAAATGCTTTAAGTTATATTTGTTTGAAATATACGTAAACTTTTTTCTATGATAAGATATCAGTTAAGCCTTATTATATTTATATAATTGTTTGTTTTTGAATTTCGTGCAAAGCTACACGAGGGCTGTCTATGCTAGTCACCCCTAATTTAGCAGTGTAAGACTAGAGGGAAGGCAGTTAGTTATCACCACCCACTGTCAACTCCTGGGCTACTCTTTTACCAACGAATAGTGGGATTGACCATCACTTTATAATACCCCCACGGCTGAAAGGGCGAGCATGTTTGGTGTGACGGGGATTCAAACCAGCAACCCTCAAATTGTGAGTTGAGCACCCTAACCACCTGGCCATGCCGGGTCTATTCTAACAATGAGATATAATACAAAACACTCATTCCCCATCATTAAATCAAACACACTCATGATATGAAAGTGAAAGGAAACGTGAGGCAAGGATACAAAGTTTCTTGTTCTATGTGCATATGAGAAATCCACAATCAAGAAGGTACAGTTGAATTTTAAACATTAAAAAAGAAATGCTAGAAGCTTGAAAGACTTATTACAAACTCAATAATACATACAGTTTTCTGCTTTAGAACAGTCAAATGACAGTGCACAGCACGATGCTATTAGTCTGGTTAGTCACTGGGAAGCAGAGAGCAAGACTGACAATCCCTAGCTTACTGTAGGTGAGTAAAATCAATTATTTATAAAAAAGTATCAAATAAAATAAGTAAACCTAAAGATTTATATCAATATTAATCAATTATAATTAAACTTGAAATTTACCTAGGAACTGTAGAAAATACACAGTTTTAATAAAAGTTTTATATACAACATAGGAATGCAGTCTTACAACCATTTATGCAGCCATATGTTGGTGTAATCATAATTTAGGCATAGGAAAAAACTATGTTGCAAAATAAACAATATAACTATTTAAGACAATTAGGAAATTTGAAGTACGTTGATCAAAACAATCAGAGGATAATCAGAATTTTCTATATTCTAGCTAAGAGAAGACACAACTTCCATTATTAAATTATGTCAATGGCAGCTGTGAGCAAATTTTTATCTGGACATTTTCATATTGTGGAGACTGACTAGTAGCCAGTGGAACACAGAAAGTGATAGCAGAGTGGTCACTAGTCTCTCAGAGAGTAATTAGCAGGACATGAACTCACCTTCTGACCTCCATTATAGCTGGCCAGAGACCAAGAAAGAATATACTAATATTGTTGACAACCCTGTAAGAAGATTGCTGTCTGACAATATTGGCTTGGCACAACCAGTGGGTTTCAGATTTCCATTTGAATGAACATCTGGGAGAAACAACTGAATAAAAATAGACATGTAAAACAGTCAGAAACAGGCTTTGTAAAATTAGTCTTTATAGCAGTTGATAAAACAACTCATTTTTGGTGGTGTCCAGGGTATGTGAACTGGTCAAATGATATGTGAATGAATAATTTGTTTCTGGATGAATCATGCTTCATAATGCAACCACGTAGGACACATTTATGTTCTCGAAGAGTGGCTGGGACCTGATTAAACTCCCAATTTCACAGAGGAAAAGTATCCATATGAAGGCAGTGGAATACTGGTCTATGCAGGAATCACTATAATGGTAGGTACACTGACCTTTAGAGGTCACAACATGGCATTATAAGTACCATATATGATATAGAAATGCAGTCTTATAATCATTTGTCCAGTTAGACACAACTTTATTCAAATTGATGACTGCACAAATTATTTTTATGTAAGATGAAGGTGGTGAGTAAATGGACTGGTCAGTATGGTCACCAGGTTTGAATCCAATTGAATAAGTGTGGATACTCTGGGAAAAGACTTGGAAGCATACGATCTACCTCCAAGTTAATGGACTGAAAGCAGCTCTGGTGGAGATGTCGGCCATAACATATTGATTTACTCATTTTAAACTTGCCACATTGATGCACCACTAGTGTTACTACTTGAAATAAGCCTAAGCCTCATTAACAAGATTCAGAATTAGCCATCATGATAGTATGATCTAAGTTATTCTAATATCAATTCTCTGTTGACATACCCAATCATTATCCCATCAGGTGCGTATGTATATGGCACCAAAACGTGTCCAGGATATCATACAATAGCTTACATGAGAGAAAGAAGAAGAGAATTTTCACCGGGAGAAATTCCGTGTGGTTTTGTTTCTGCTGCTGGAATCACTTCCAGACTGAGTAGATAGTAAAGGTTATAAGCACTTAATAACCGATTGTTAAAATATTACCCATATAAATGGCTTAGGTTATAAAATGACTAATTTTCTGTATAATGGATGACTGTCAACACCCACTACATAACATATTTAATTTAAAATCATAGTTATGCCTTGTCATAACTAGATTATAGAAAACTCCAACTTAACTATTTTGAGGAGTGTAAATAAGGTTACTTAACAAAGGAAGTACCATAATTTTTTAATACAGCAGCCTTTGCATGAAGAAAAACTAGTGTTTTGTTGAAATTAAATTTCTTAGATTACAATTACCTACTATAATCCATTATATATATGATATCCAGCATGTAGAAGTTTATATATAAAAATGTTACACGTATTTATCTATTATCTTAATAATTGCCAAGTCTATAAAGTAAGACTCACTTGCTGAGGGTATTAACTTGCTAGTTCATCATTTTATCTTCAGTTTAGATAAGAAGATTAATGTAAAAATTTCATTTCAGTAAAAACTTTTAACATTTCATCCCTCCTCTCTCTGAACTTATCTGTTCATTTATAACAATATGGAAGTCTTTCTAATTGGACTTGCTATGAAGTCATATGACCAGTGCTCGAAGTGGAGATTAACGTATGGGTACACG